TGGGTATGCCCTGCTTACTAGGACTTTGTTTTTGGGTCTGGGTCTTGTGTTAGCTTTGGGGTTTGGGCTGGGGTTGAGGTTGTGGTTTGGGGTAATGTGTTGTCAACTCATTGGCCACCGCTGCGCTTGGCCAGCGATGTCGCTAGCCAGCACTTTGAGGCGTGTGTGCAGTAATTATGAGGGCATTATGTTGAATCCGCAATCGTTATTGCTTGGACATGGTGGAACGCTGTTGACGGCGACGATGACAAGGATGTTGTGCTGCCATGTGGATCTTGCTCCTTGCCCCAACATTTGCGTTACGCATGAACTCAGCATGCATGTCCTTTTAGCATGCATTAATGTGTGTGTGTGTGTGTATATCGTCTACAGATGACAGGATGGCTCTGGTGTGTTATGACAAGTCTCTCCCCAACTCTGGCGCTGTCTACTGCGTCCAAATTGCGACAACATTATTTAATTGAAACTAATTTTCCATTTTGCGGTCACCATCAAAATATGTAATGCTACTTCTGAAGTGTTTAATTGGGGGCGTGTCAGTGGTAGCAGCAACCACAGCTGTTCCGCTCCTTTTGGGTCGGGCATCCTTGTTAGCCTTGTGGCCAATGTGGGTCAATTTTGTTTTCAAGCAAACATTTGTCGACTTTAAATAATGCCCCTTAACTGTGCAGCTAGTTGTGGCATTGCATATGCAGCTTTTTAGTTGGCACAAGGTACTCAGAGTCTGCTATGCAAAAAGAGACTATACAGAATCACAACCCCATCCCCATTCATCCAGCAGTATAGCTTGCCATATTTCTCACCTTGTAGAAATTGCGCACACGTAAAAAAAATTAAGCGCTTTATAGCATGCAACTCGTACAGCGAGTAATATGAGTACTATGGATACTATGGGAACAGCACATGCTCTGTTTACTTTTACGACTTGCCCCTGCAGCAGCAGCTGCAACAAGAACAACAATCCAGTACTGTATATTATAGAGAAGAACAATGGCAACATCAGCCTTCTTGGCTAGGAAAAGCTACAAATAAGATGTTGCTTTTAAATTTCGCTTTAGCTTTGATAAAGTTATTGCTGTGGAAAATTTGATTACCTCACTTCCACCCACTTCTTAACCGAAGTTATTTATGCATTTTCTCGACAAAATTTTAAATAATTGTATAGCTAAAATAAGCAATAAATTGAAAACACTAAAGTTTAATTTATGAATCAATTGTATATATTTGAGAATTTCTATTTAAAATAATATTAAACTAAAGTGAGAAAGGAATTTAAAAAAAAACAAATTTGTGATCGCTGAAAATGAGCTATTAATATGCCACCAATTAAACAAGTAAAATAAAATTAAATAAATAATTAATTAAATAATTTTAAAAAATTAAAAAATTTCATTTTGATTAAACAAAAGTTTTAGCGATACAAGTTAGCAGAAAATATACTGCATAAAATGTTTATAATATAGCCAGAAGTAAGGAGCATAAACAGCTTACTTGACATCACTGCCAGGCACTCACACACATACACACACATATACACATGGGGAATGATACCGCCGGCTGCAGGCGTGGCACAAAGTGAGCAAAACGCACGTGACGCTCATCAATTTGGCGCACTTTGCCTTCGCCTCGCTGTTTTTAATGCGCTCCACCGACTACAACGACGATGATGATGATGACTCCTACTCCTGCTGCTGCTCTTACACAATTTCGCTGGATTCGTTACTGTTTCTGCACACGATCCCGAACCTGAACCTGGCTGACTGCATCGTTCCGCACATGCTGTGCACGCCATTGTGCTCCTTACCATGTGTCTGTTCCGGTGTGTGCGTGTGTGTGTGTGTGGGTTTGTGAGTGTTTGTGTGTATGTCACGATTTTGCATATTAATTGCATTAAGTTATAGCCAGCTAGACTCGCTGGATGGCGTCACATGTGGCATATAGCCCCTGGCTTGCAGCTTCAGTGATAATTTCAGCTTGGTAAATCCACTTTGCTGCACATGTTTGGGGCTTAGTTGTCCAGTGCTTAACTGCAATTCGAATTGGCTAGCCCGCAAAACCTAAAAGCCCTGGCTATGCCCTTCTCACATACACACTCACACACACACACAAACATGCATACCTATTTATAATCGGTGTACTAACTTGACTAAACACCATTGTTGCCATGCTCCAAATGCTGCCGTCCACTTGAATTTATTTATAACAACATTTTCAATAGATACAACGAAATGCGATACGCGTCAGATATAGCTACAGCAATAGCTACATACTTACATATATATATAGGCATTTATACATACATATATATATATATATATATACAAATATATACACAAATATTTTAAAATGTTGGCTGCTTGTTTGCTATTTTAAACTTGAGTCATTCATAAGCAATTATGAGAGCAACAAAATATTTCAAGTATTTTTAAGTTATTGAAGGTTTTAATTTTGATTTTTATTTTTTTGAAAGGATGCTCATATTTAAATATTTCAAAAGTATATTTGAAATATTTTGTAATAGAATTATTAGACTTATTATTAGATTTGTGATGACATGATTTTTTACTATGAGTTTTATACTATGAGGTCAATTAGAACACGTTGAATAATATGAAATGTAATTTAAAAATTAATGAAAGCTATAAATAATTTTTTTATAAGTTTTTCTTAGAATGGATTATGATTCTTCATAAGAGCGCTATTCGATACGTGTTATGTTACACTACATAGATTAAAAATACTTTAAATAGTTTATTGATGAAACTTGATATGGACACTAAATAAGTAAAAAATATGATATCATTCAACTTTATCTTCACTATATAGTTTGTTAAACTTTTGATTGTAATATATAACGATCTGTTTTTAGCTTACAATTATTATACCTTCCCTCTGAACTTTTCTATATTCCTTGAATTGTTAAATGTAATAGTTTATATTTAGTTTTCAATTACGTTAACATCCTTTTAAGTAAAACAGCTAAGAATTTATGTTGTCGGCACGCACATAATATTTTTTATGTTGTCATTTTTTTATGATGTTTCGCCAGATTTCGCTCCATACTTCTTTACATTCCATATGCTTATTTATATACTATTGAATGCAAGGAAGCATGGAACTCTCAAAGGCCAAGTAAACAATTTAAAAACCATAAAAACCACACTCTTAACTTTAAGGTCGTACGATTATGTTGCACATCCATTTGCATTTTGGCAGTTTGTTTCTCAGTTAAATAATGATGATTGTGAATGTAATTGCAACAATTGTTGCAAAACATGTTAAACAATACTCTAACTGCAATTTCTGGGGCAATTCTTATGCAACTATCTCGTTCGCTTTTGTTTTTGGGGTTTTTATACATTCATTTTATTTCTTTTACTATTTTAGAAGTATATCCTCTGTATATCCTTATGCTGCCTGTGTCCCGGCTGTGGCTTTCAAATTTTCCTGTTTCTCGTTGCTGGCTTTTATTTTTTATTTTAAAGGGGGGTTATATGGGGGGTTTAATACTTTTGCCGTGCGTTTTTATAGTCCAACTGCAATAAAGCAATTTTTAAGCGCACTGAAGTGTGTTTATATGTGACTGGGCGTTGTGGAGCGTGGTCCGGGAATACAATTCTTGTACCGCGTAGGATCTGCGCTGCTTTTTGTTTTTGTTTTTTTCTTTTTGCTTACTTTTTGTTTTTTGCATCTTTCACGCGCCTGCACAAAAAATTCATAAACTTTTTTGCAGCTGTTTTTTGTGTTGTTTTCATTTTTATTCTTTGTTGGTGATTTTTTGTACGTATGTATGTGTGCTTTAGGGGAGGGGCCGCCCTCAATAAAATTGCGCCCTTTTTGCTTGGACTTTGTTTTTTATGCGCATATTTTGCGCCACATGGCCAGAGCAGGAGCCCCACCGCCTGCTGAGCTCCCTGTATGGCTTTAGCTTTGCGCTTAAACGATTTTTTCTTAAATTTGTTTTTTGTTTATTTACTCTTGATGTTCTTTCGTCTTTTTTTTTTCTGTCACATTCCGCACACGAAATATGCCACACACAAAACAAAATCCGCGTAACTCACAAACGAATGCAGTTTCGATTTAGGAACAGATCTCGAGCCGGGAAGTGTATGGCATGCCCTGACAAATGCGACTGTCCTCTAATCGCCATGTAAACAGACGCTTATATAGCTGCCTAAAATTAAAACCTAGCCAACCCTTGATTCGGGACCCACATGAAGCGTCGCAGTCGATCCGCTTTGCAGGTCAAGTCCAAGCACCGACGTACACAGACACACACATGTGTGTGTGTGTGTGTGTGTGTCTTGTTGTAGTTTTTTTTACCTACTTGAAGAGCGGCAACAACAACAAGAACAACAACAACGCTCTCGATGGCAATACCCACGCGGCGTCGCCGTCAGCATTGCTGCTGCTGCTGCTGCTGCAGGATGTGGCACATGGATGCAATCTGCAGACACTGCAGGCGTTTCCCAGGCACAGCCTTAAATGTGGCAGCCCAGACAGCCAGACCATGTGGTGTGCAGTTTTACAACAAATCAACAGCCTTAATGTCAAATGTTAATCATGTGTTACATACTTCAATCTACACAATCCCGATGCTAATTTTAAATATTTATCAACAATTAGTTTCAATGTTTAAGCCTGGCAACACAACATTTGAAACATGTATTTGAATTTGTTTATTAAATAATATAACAGAAAAGGATCAACAATTATTTAAGCTAAGCTTCGACCGATCAATAAAATAAATACTTTAGAAATTATTTCTCAAAGTTATTAAAATTAATTTAAATATTTTTCATAAATTAAGTGCAAATTTATCTAAACCTGAAATTTTTTTTATTAAATTGCCAATAAATTTATCGCCTTAACTGCTGACTTTCACTCAAGTCAAAATTTTTTCAGTTTGTAACATGACTTCAAAATATTTTAAAAGTAGCTTCTTTCTTTACAGATATCTTTGAATATTTCTGCATTGGCATGTATAAGACAGCCAAGGAGAGTTTTGAGTCAATCATTTTAAAATTGAAATCATTCGGTATAAAAAAGTTCTGGTTTCAAAATTTGTGTTCAGCTAAAATGAAAGACAATATTGACGTGCTGGTCTTTGGTTCATCAAATATCGACTACATTACGTAAGTGTATCCCTCATGTAATTCGCAAGATTGCAGTTCGATCCTCTTTGTAGATATGTCAATGAGTTGCCTAAACCGGGAGAAACAGTACTGGCGATGCACAGAGAGCGTTGTTTTGGTGGCAAAGGCGCCAATCAATGTGTGGCAGCTTCTAAACTAGGCGCCAATTGTGCGTTGATAACGAAATTGGGCACCGATGCTCTGGGCGAAGACTACTTGGAGTATTTGAAGACGTTAGAGATCAATCTTGACTTTGTGGAAAGGGTGGAGAGCATGCCCACCGGCTTGGCCGAAATTATTGTGTCCGACAATGCAGAGAACACAATTATCGTGCTGCCCGGTGCGAATTCGATGCTTCGGCCCAAGGATGTCTCTCGCTGTAAAAAACTGTTCAAGAACGCCAAGGTTCTGATGTGCCAACTGGAGACGGAGCAGAAGGCCGTACTGTTTGCACTGCAACAATTTAAGGGGATATCCATATTGAATGCGTCTCCCATGCCCAAGAACATCAACGTGGAACTGATCACAACACCCACAATTCTATGCATCAATGAGATGGAAGCTGCTCAGCTAACCGAACGCGAGCAGGTTAACACGTTGCAGGATGCTAAAGCAGCCGCCAATGAAATAATCGACAAGGGTGCCAAGAGTGTCATAATTACAATGGGAGCACTGGGCGCGGTTTTTTTGTCGAGCACGGAACGAGATGTGTGCATCCACTGCCCGGCCGCACCTGTACGCTTCCTGGCCGACACTTCGGGTGCTGGTGATGCCTTTCTCGGCAGCCTAGCCTACCACATCGCGATCTTTCCCAACCTCCACCGGGAGAGTCATATCAGTGCGGCCAACATCTGTGCCGCGTACGCTGTTGGCCATCGCGGCACTCAGCTTAGTTTTCCGGGACCGGAATATGCTCAGAATGATCTATGTCGATTTGTGCCTACGTGCACTGTGATCGCGGATGAATCCACCAAACCCACTGAGCCAGAGACGACACCAGCTCCAACAAAAACAGAAACACTCCTACCACCGGTGGTGGAGCCAGAACCCAAGACAACTGCCACAACTGAAGCCCCAGAGCAAAAGGACACCGAACCACAACCAATATCTGCATAAATCTAGTTTCGACTACATTTAAATCATTTTAATGAACATAACGAAAAATGTAAATAAATCTAGGTTTTAAACGACTTTTAAATAAATGAAATCGAAGATCTGGTGAATTTCGAATTCACATTATCAAAAGATAGATGGGTGCACAATTAAAATTACCATTTTGTTGAAATGTTGTCACAATTAACATTTTGCGTTAAGCGCTCCGAAACTTAATCGAATTGCAATGAACATTGTCAGCGTGTCGGCAATCAACAAAAAAATAAAAAATAAATACGCAATCGTGCATTTTAATTAGCAAATTACAGCGTGGGTCAACTATTTAACCAGCTGTAAAAAGGGTATAACAATTAACAAAAACAAAGAAAAAAGAAGAAGAAGGAAGCCTTTAAACTAAAAATGAGAAATTATAAGAGTGAAAGTTTTATATATATATTCTTATACGTGTCTCATATTCAATAATATAAAAATAAACTACTACACATCTTTTCACAGAGTAGGCCTTAGTCAGATACACTCCACGTTGGCCACTCTCACTGGTTTTATTGTGCATTTTTAATGCACTGCGTACAAACTTTATGCACTTTTATTAAATTATTATATCTGCGTAAGCGCAATGACAAGCGAATGACATAATGGAATGATAGAGAGAGAGAGAGAGAGAAAGAGAGAGAGTAAGTGGTGAGAGGATGAGTGCGAGTGGGAAAGACATATGTGAATTGTGCACGAATAACAGTAATAATAGCATTGAATCACACTGCGGCTTGGGTCATGTAACTAATTATTTAAATGTTATTATTGCCATTAAAGTGTACATATTTTAATTGAAATGAATTAACAAGCTACTCTCGCAAAACGGTTAATGCTAATATGTGAAAAGGTTCTTAGTGGCTGCTTGTTAAAAAAAAAGTAATAAAACTACAATTTTAATAGATAATATTGAAAGAAATAAGGACATAACAAAATTGGCAAAATAAATGAAAATAATATTTATGCAAAATTGAATGTTATCTATTAGAAAACTGTACAATATTGAATATTGCATTACATAACTGAAATTATTCACATATTAAACAAGTAAAAAAATCTAGCCAAAAATGTAGTTGGCAACAAGACTTTAATTTATATAATTTTGGCACACCAAGTTAAAAAAAAAAAGAAAAAAGTGAACATTTGTTAACCTCAACTCTTTGACATATGCCATATATAAAAGTATATATGTATATATGTATTTAATATAAGCAATTGTATGTATAAGTGCTTTGAATATATTTCCGCTATATACGAAAATAGCGATGAGCAAGAAGTGAGCCGCATTATTCACCATTCCCATTATACAGCCCACAGACTGAGGCAGTCACACTCACACACACATCAGACACACACACACACACACACACACACACACATACACACACTCACACACACACATACATTCCACATGCACAATTCTCTGGCGATTTCTGTGCCGTTTCTGTGTTTCTGTAGTATTTATAACAATTTGCGGCATTCTCCATAAATAGCCACAAACTGAAGGAAAGTGCACACCAACTAGTTGAACTCTTTCAATATTTTATACAAATTTTTCTTCGCTGATTTTAATTTTCTTGCATTCCACATTGTATACGTTCACTTTCGCGTTGAACATTTTTAGATATTAAGTTTTTTTTTTTTTTCAAATAATATTTCCAAGCGACTTTGGAGCACTGCGCTAGAACACTTGAGCAGCGTTTTATTTATTTTCTGTGTAAATTTATTATAAACAAAGCGACGAGGCCCAGCCGGAGTCAGCCGATCTGCACAGCTCGACAACAGAATCGGTAATGCACTAAAGGATGCAAAAAATATTCTCAAATTAATTCTTGGCGCTGGTTGAGGCGGCCCCCAACGCGTTGCTGCCGCCCGTTTTGCCCGGCTATAACTGTACCGGCAGCCCGACCCAACAACCGAACGCTATCCCAAAAAGATCCGTGAATCAAGAATCAAAAAATCGCCCCCTTTACTCACCGCCCCCTTCCCCTTTTTGCTCAAGCGAAGAGCGCCCGCGATGATGAGAACTTTCATTTCATATATAAGTATATATTTATTTCGTACATATTTATAGCTTTGTCTCGTCTTCTTGGCTTGCCATATATATATATATACATGTATACGCGAGCATGTATATAAGGCGTATATATACCTATTGCTATATAGTGTTTGTTATATAGCTAACATCGTTCGCCCAAAAATATACCAAAAGACTTCATCGTCGCTGTTGTTGTTGTGCTTTTGCTTCCACATTCCGCCTCAAATGATCCACGCCACTGATCCTCTTACGCAGGCGCATCCAACACACACACAGTCACCCAAGCACACAAACACACATACACACATACACACATACATACACTGAGCACTGTCTATACTTAGCCGCTTTGGTATAGACGGAAGATCTCGCCCGATAGTCGAACTGCTGGCTGGTTCGAATAGGCCTCGTCTTCATCGTCGTCTTCATCATCGTCGTTTTCTTCGTCGTCGTCGTCGTCGTCGTCAATACAAACATCGTGCTATAAAAATAACACACAAAAACAAAACAACAACAATCGACAGAGCTACAGTTATAGTGTATATATATTTATATACACACACATATATATATGTATATATATATATGAGTATGCCTAGCTACACGATCTAGCATTACGATTCGATTGTGTTTCGGCTTTTTGGCAGCATCTTGTTGGCCATAGCTAAAAACCCGGCCGAAGGCATCAGTTTGCCATTTCTTTTGCTCTTTTTTCTATTTCGTACACAATATCGAGTCGCTCGCAGCTTGAGTTGACATATTTTTGGAAATGTCAAAATACGTTCAAATTGCTTAATTACTTTTTATGTTCACACAAATACACACACATACACACAAGCACACACACACACACACACACATACATTTGGCAAGCATCCAAATGGTGATCGGTTTATCCCTATTATTGGTACTACTCTTCGCCAATGTTCTCGACAAACAATTACAGTTAAATTCTATTTATTTTTATTAGTTTTGGAATGTGTTGACCGGAAGCAATACCATTTGGCTAACATCTAATTTGGTAGTACCTATAAATAGAATGATCAATTCCGATTTCATCATGTAACGAAATCAATAAGTAGGCATTCCTATATTCAATTTCTATTTGACAACTTTGTAATAGAAATAAGAATAATAATATTTACTAACTTTGAAACCCTTCAACATGTGAAGAAAGATGAAATATAATTATGGAATTTAGTTAGGTTTACAAATTGGATATACAAACAGAAAAATCGGTTTAAATAATAGCCAAAATAACAGAGCACCTATTTTCAGGACTGACTGTTAATACTAGTTTTAATTTATCATTTGAAAATGTGTACTAAATGCATTAAATGCTTTAAGTGCGTATTACAACATTCGACTTGAAATCCTCTTAAGCGCTTAGCAACATTTGCAGTTTGTCGCTGTGAGAGAAGCTCGAACACAATTCGCCTTTTAATGTGCAAATGTAAAGCTTAACTAATGCATACACACACACACACACACACACACACAAATACAAAAAAAAAAGTTGGAAATGCACACACATAATGGATGCATCCGATAGATACAGCCAGCAAAAAGAAGCAAAAGTTGAAGATGCCTCCGCTTACATGAGAGAGAAACACACAAATGCAATTCAATTTTTTGTTGTTGTTAGATTTTGAGCGATTTCTTCATTTTTGCTTTTCCCCTTTTTTTTTTTGCTCATCTTTGGCCTGTATGAAATGTATTTTTGGGTGGCAAAAATAGCTCCCAGAGCTGATGCTCATCCTTGTCGTTAGGTTGATGAATCTCTCTCTGGCTGCTGTTGTGCCATAAAAACATAGCCACCAACTGTTGTCTACAAATAAATCTCGTTAAGGAGTGCACACACAATGATTGCACACTTACACACACAAATTTGTACTTGAATCCTGTATACCGATACCAACTATGCTGATAAGAATAATTTTGGCCCCAGTAAAAATGAATGTCTGTAAAAAAAAGTATGCTTTGATATTGAAAAATAACAGTTGCTAAATTCATAATACCAAACAAAAAGTAATAATTAAATCTATGTTGAGGTTACTGCACAAAATATTAATTGAATATTTATATAATCGTGTTAACTAAGGAGCACAAAATATCTAAAATTAATATAATACTCTCAATAGTATTAAACATTTTTCTGCCACTACTCTTATCTGTTCCACCAAACCAAACCAAATATATACAAATAAAAAGGCGAGTAGATGACAGCCTTGCATTGGTCGCATAATCAAATCTTTTGCCTTGTATTCTGTTTGTATTCCTCAAGCATTTTATATGCCACATTTTGTGGCACAATAAACTTCTACTCATAATGCGCCGCACAGCCGCAAGAGAAAAACAAATCCACAGTATTTGCCTATTTCTAGAATTCTCTTTGTTTTTACGATCGCAATTAAATTGCTGAATTTGATTTAATGTATTTTATTGATAATAAAAGTGAAAAAAAAAATTTTTTCAAAGTGCCATCTTGGAGTTTTTACTCATGGCATTACATAAAATTTGATTTTATTTGCTTTGCGCTTGCTCCTTGAGGCACCTTCTCTTGTCCTTGCCCCTGCCCTGCCACTGCTCCTGCCCCTTGATTTCCATTTTAGCTTCAGTATGCAAATGCGGGCATTGCGCGCTTGTCACATTGGAAAATTGAAAATCCTTTTATGTGCAAAACGTGACAAACGACTTTAGATTTTATGCCCCTTGACGACGGCATACATATATAAACTTTAAGTGGAAATTAAAGGGCATTCACATGCCGCATAGAAATGCATCAAAAATATTACCTGAGTGGCAGTTACTCAAAAATGGACTTAGTTTGAATAAAGTATCAAGTGAAATATTATTTTTTTTATTTTTTTTATGTCATATGTTTTAAATGTGTGATTTCATAATTTTCACAATTTGAGGAATTTTTAATTGTCTTGTACAAAACTGAGTAAAGGTGTTGCTTGAAAGTGAATTTGATAGGAAAATGATAAAAAGTAATTTGACTTTAGCACTAGAATATCTAATATACCTTATCTTATTAAGGTAAGATAAG